GCTGAAGCCTTGTAAGACCCCAGCAAAGGACCAGCTGAGCCCCATCTAGATTCCTGACCCACAGTGACTTCAAGATAACAAATGTATACTGAAGTTTTCTGGTTTTCTGGTGCTGGGGATGGAAGCCAAGGCCTTGTGGGTGCTAGGCAGGCACTCAACTACTGGGCTACACCCTTGCTCCAACACATGTGTACTGTTTCCAACTGTTCTGTTTGTGCTAACGTATAACACAGCAATAGGTGACTGCTTTGATGACTACCTGTATCTACGCGTGTCTACCTCTAGCACAGAACACAGAACCTAGACACAGTGTGTGACTGACACCTTTTGGCAGGACCGATCTAGCACAACAGCAACAGAGTCTAGGAAAACCAAACTAAAATAAGTCATGTAAAGCAGACCGGAGCCTGAGCGGGGAGAGGTACACAAACAGGAGGCCAAACAAAGACAGGAAAGCGTGGTCTGCAGCACCAGGACGTGTGGGCCCCCATCCCACCCTGACTCCGCGAGGCAGGGAGAGAAGACAGAGCCACACTCCCAGAGGCTGCGGCAGGCGGGGTGCCCTGGGGCCTGCAGGTGAGGGCCAGCAGGGGACGCAGTGTGAGGAGCAAGGCAGAGCAGGGTGCAGGGAGTTCAAAGTTTGCCAGCAAAACCAAATAAAACACAGAAGACAAAGTCCTGCTGCTGGTCCAAACGCTTGCCTGGGCAGACTGAAAAGAACAGTTAAAGCATTCTAATCAACACTTTCATGTTCTTGACTTGGAAACACTAGATTAAAGCAAAAAAAATTTTTTTTTTACTCCTGCTCTACACTCTGGGGACAACACAGCCACATCACCTCCTGGGCACCCTGCCTTGGCGCAAAACCACTTATGTCATGCCAGGCGAAGCCGGCTCCCAGGATGGCGGGGGAGCCAGAAGCCACTGCCAGCAGGGCCATCTGCTCACCAATTCCCACAGTCTGAACACTGCCACTTCCAGAAGGGCACTGAGATAGGCCGGCAGGCGTCTGCACATGTAGAAAGTACGGGAATGGAGACGAAGGGCTGGATTTCTACTGCCTGGGATCAGTCATTTTCCACTCTGCACATGAGATATCGATTCCTGAGACACTTCCCAAGCGGCCTCCAGAGACACTGCCAGAATTACAATATGGATTCCTCACCCTGTGCGCTCTTATTTGCATCTTATGGGAATGTGGCTAGCTGCAGGATGCAGACTGCTCCTGGTCACACAGCATACACAGTGGTGGCCCTCTGGCTCAGGCAGCAGCGCAGGGAGCCGGTCTGCTCGTTCTTCTGTGCTGGAACTCCCACTGCCCGTGAGCAGCACCTCATGAAGAAGCACAGACCGAATGTAGCAAATAAAGTCATGCACACCTGATTCCATGCAAACACCTTTATAGGAACTACTGGAGATCCCATGGGGTAAGAGTATCTGCTTCATAGGTGAGCCTCACAGAACTCAGCTTCCAGTACAGGAGCCAGACGCCCAACACATGCCTGACTCTGAACCTTACCCTGCACCTTGCCATTTCTCATGTTTCCAAATTATGTCAGCATTCAAAAATCCATCTCATTCAAATGTTTAAATGCTATGTGCAGGTAGAGAACGAAGATCCATCACTAAGAGAAGCACCAGCAGTTAGATATGTGACCAAAGCACACATATCTGCAGTGTGAGGGAGGTGTGGGCAGCCTCTGTCACACAGAGTCTAACAGCGATCTGCTCTCTCTGATGAGAGGGAAGTCACTCGCGTTTGTGGTTGGAGTACTTTGAGGAAGCCATGAGGAATGTGCCCCACAGAAAAAGGCACCGGCTTAGGGAAAGGGCAGTCAGAGAGCAGGGAACAGTTCCCCAGGACTGAGAACAGTATGTATGGCGATGAGAAGGTGTGTAGAATGCACAGAAGGTGCCAGGGGCCAGGAGGGAGAAGCACAGTGGGTAGCCCAGCAATGCAAAGGGAAAGGGAGGGGAGGGGGACCAGAATGACAGCATCACTAAGCAGACCTGGGAAGAAGTGGGCATGTGACACTCTGAAGACCCAACCCAAGGGATGCAGCAATCTGCTGCATGTGGTGAACTCAATGTGACTTCTCAGATGCCCTGAAACGTGAAATAGTTACAGTCACTCTCAGTAACCATGGCAATGGTTCCTGGACCTCCTGCGGGTACCAAACTCTACAGATGCTCAAGTCCCAGATACAAAACCATATAGTATTTGCACAGAAGCTAGTCACGTCTTCTTGTATACTTTTACATCATCTCCCCCAATTACTCACAATCCCTAATACAATGTAAATGTTACGTAAATTGCTATACTGTATTACTAGAGCATAACAACAAGAAAAAAATGTCTGTACTTGTTCAGGGCAGATGCAACCATTCTAGGCCTAACTACACCGGACAAGTCAGAAACAACGTAACATTTTCTGTAATGTTTTTTCGACTATTTTCTATCCTCAGTGGAAGGATGCACAACCGGAGGCTACAGAGGGTCAACTGTAACTAAGGATACAGTATAGAAAACAGAAAAGAGGAGAGAGGAATCCCCTGCTCTCCAGAGTTCTTCTCCCTTCTGGTATCCCTTAGAATCCGAGTATTAGCAGTTTACCTTTAGGATCCATTTTAAGAGAAATCTCTCCCTGCCCCTCACCCCAAACAAAAAATGGGCCACTCTACAGTTTTTTTTTTTCTCTAGGAGAGGCTTGAAGAAAAAGGCCTGTAAATGCAAATGAACATGCAGATGTGAATGAGCTTTAGTCAAAGGTTAAATCAGGACACAAGAACTTCCTTGTTTGGCTAGCAGGGTTAGAAAGCAGGATGATATCCTTTGCCTTAGAAAGGAGAGTGAACTGTCAAGGCCAGGGAAAAGGGACTGAAAAAGGGAACCAGAGAGGACAAGCTCCGAAGCCCGCACTGCCAGCCAGCCCAGGTCCCTGAATCCATCCGGGGTCCCCCAGCGCAGCAGCAAAGAGGGACTCACTACAGCTGGAGTGACATCGTGAGTTAGCAGGAAGCTTTAGTCCCAGCCCGGACTCTCTTTGGACCGCTCCCCTCACCTGCAAGTCTGACAAGCTGATTACACGGATAACTAAACTGGTCTCCAGAGAGGTGGCACGATACCCAAAACTCGGTATTTGAACATAGTGTTTCCCACATGCAATCCCAGGCCTCAAGTTCCTTCCCTAGAAATGGGGAAAGACTCCTCAAGGAATAAACACAGCAACACACAAAGCTCCTGTAACATTACTTCCCATCCTTTTGTGAAGTCCCCTCTAGCTCGAAACTGATGGAAAAAAGGGGAATTTTATTAATGAGAAAGGGCCATATGCTCATTTTCTTTCTTTCTTTTCTTTTTCTTTGTCTTTTGAGACAGGGTTTTGCTATGCAGTTCAGGCTGGCCTTGAGCTTACTTTTTAGCCCAAGCTAGTCTCAAACTCACAGTGATCCTTCTGTCTCAGCCTCCCAAGTGCTAGGATTGCAGGCATGTGCCACCATGCCCCAACCCATATGTTTATTTTCATATCCCTGCCATTTACAAATTCTAAATTACAAATCAACTAAAAAACAATACCACTTTCTTGCCCCAAAGATAGTCTAAGTGATAGAGCTCAATGTTATGTCTTAGACAAGAGCCTGCACAGAAAGGGACAGGAGGAAGGGCAGAAGGGACTCAGACCCCAGGAAGGTGCTGCAGAGGCCTGGGGGCACGGGGAGAGCAGACAGCTACATTCTCCGTGGCCCCACAGCAAGGAGTCACTCCTCTCCCACTTCCCCTCCTCCAAGCTATCTAGATTCCGCTTCCCTCCCTCCTCCACCAGAGAAGCCGAGCTACAGCTACAGCGTGGCCCTTTACTGCCCCCACTTGGAGTCCAGCTGTTTCCAGCCTGGGAACCCTGACCCAGGCTCTGACCAACCCAAAACCGCAGGGTAAAAGAGCCAATTTGTCCTTTGTCCTCCTAACATTACAAAGAAAGATCTAGTAATTGCAATAAGGCATGCCTTTGATTTTTTGCAAGCTAATATTTCCTTACCCCCAAAATCTTTCCAAATGTGTGCCACAATCAAAGTGAAGTTTCCCTCCCTTTGCTCCAACATGTGAGAATGTCAAAGCAAGGCTAAGCATTATTTCTACCACTTCTGCAAGAGAGTTTAACCAAAACATCCTGCTCTTGGTAAGGAAAGGTTGACCCCAATTTTTGAATACCTACTTCCTCTTCCAATTAATGTTACTCCTCCTCTTAAGATAAAACAGACATTTGTTTTTAAATGACAACATCCCTAAAGTTTGTTTACTTTTTTCCACTCTGAGGTTGGACTTCCAAGATTGGCTCTCTGGTGCAAAGGAATATGGTATATAACAAAGTGCTGAATCTTCTGGAAACCAACAAGATACCCAAACAAAAGGAAAGCCTTAATTTTTAATAAAGAAAACCAAAAAACACTGTTGCTGTTCCCTAATGAACACAGTAATTGAGGACTACATCTTAAAGATTTTTTTTTTCCCTTTGGTACTGGGAATGGAGCCCAGGGCCTTGCCCATGCTAGGCAAGTTACTCTACCACTGTACTACCCTTCCATTCTTTTTACTTTGAGACAAGATCTCACTGTGCTGCCAAGGCTGGCTTCAAATTTGAGATCCTCCTGCCTTCGCCTGCTAAACACCTTGGATCGTAAGTGGGGACCACCATACCTTACCATGTAGTTTTTAAAACACTACTCTTGGGCTGGGGATTTAGCTCAGCGGCAAAAGCACCTGCCTGGCAAGCGCAAGGTCGTGAGTTCGGTTCCTGGTACCGGAGAAAAACAAAAAAACAAACAAACAAACAAAAAACACTACTCTTGCACATGTTTATGTGCGAAAGCATGCACAAGCACTGAAAAAAAAAAAAACAACACGATATTCTTTCTGGGGGTCTTTGCTTTGAGAAAGGAATAAAAGTATCCCTTACCTGTTTGGAAGAGAGACTTAAAAACAAAATGAAAACGCTGCTCACCTGAGGTTTACCTTTCGATCCTCATCGCTGCCAGCCTCCAACTGCAGAGAGAAAGAAAATGTCACACCACAGATATCGCTATCAACAAGCCTCAGACAGCAGGCTCCCGGTCTCTACCCTGGTGTCTCTATCCTGGTGTCGGGGAAAAGATAAAGATGTCCAGGAAACCTGGCTACTTCTAAATAGCCCTGCCCTTTCCTTACAACCTGACCCGCTGTTCCTCTGAGTAACTTCCACGGAGGAATTTTCAGGTTTCCAAATGTTTATGCACATTCCTGCCACGGTCTGGTGGACTGATTCCTGCTAACTGAATATTTCCTATTTGGCACTGTTGCCCAACACATTCCTGTAGCTCTCAACTTTCCAGACTTGTTCTGGATCTTATCCTCTTTTTTGCTGCTAAAAGGAAGGAGCTGTGTTTGAAGAGAATCCATTTCCTCTGTCAAGCAAGGCCTTGCTGAGCGAGGAGCACCATTTTAAAAATCTATTCCAGGCAAGTCTTTCACCATGGAAGGTGGCCAGAAATTAGGCGGCCTGGGGGTCTCCAAGGCTTTTTTGGTGGTTCTCATAAAGACTTAAATGCTTAATATGAAATGTTCTAGGCTGTTAGTTTATTCGTATCAGTGAAAGAACAAGGTGTTTTCTAAAACCTCAAAGTCCAAAAAGTTGAGCTCCAAAAGTCATCCCTCCTTAAGCTCAAATCATCTCTCACTCTCTCTTTTTTCCTTTCCTTTTTCAGCAAAAAACCGAAAATGATTAGAAAACAACTCCGCACCACAGGGACTTGGCATGTTTTGTACCTTAGACAAAAGCACTCATGGAATGGCAAGGGAAACCCTGGAGAGGTGGGATGGCCAGGAACTGCAAGGCTGGCTGAGGGGTGAAAGGAGGCAGAAGTCAAGGGCAGCATGGAGAGGGTGCAGAGTGATGCGGGGAGGTGCCCGGGCAGCAAGGGACACACACCAGGAGGTGGCAGTTTCCACCAGGAAGCAGTATATGAGCAGGTCCCAGAGTCCCTAAATTGCATTAAGATAATGTCTGTAACAGAATTATGCAGAGGCATACACTGGGGCCAATCAATTCATGTTCATGCTCCCTACACCACATGAAAGTGAGGTGGAAAAACCAGGGAAGGCTTAGTAATCACAGGGCCATGAGCTTCTTTCTTGCTCAAACAAAACAACTCACAACAATAACAGCAGGGCTGGGGGTGTAGCTCAGTGGCAGAAGCACTTGCCGAGCTTGCGCAAGGCCTTGGGGTCTGATCCTCAGCACTGCAAAACACAGAAACAGCAGGGGCAAACTGGAATGAGCTTGTGGGGTCTGACCCTGTGGAGCTGCACCAGGGACAAGTTCTCACCGTGATGTCTGGAGGCACTGTTTTGAATGGGACCACTGGTATCTTGTGGGTAGAGGGCAGAGGGGTGCTAAACACCACACAATGTATAGGCCAGCCCCCTACATCCAAGAATGTTCTGTCCCCAACAGTGCCAAGGTTGAGAAACCCCAAAAACTGCCTGGAGATCTGCCTATGAAATGAGTCACTTTGAACAACTGTCAAAAATAACAATGTTCGATCCACTCCTGAAAAATGCTGGCTTATCTTTTCGCCAGCTCTGTCCTCACAAAGGAGTGGAGATAAGGTTAACGGGAAAATGACACACAGGAGATAATTAAAGCTTGGAAAGAAAAAAACTGCAAGAGGAGAGAGTTGCTTTTGGGCCGAGGGCTGTGATTTCCCACGCCACGCAGCCAGCCTGGCTGTGTCAGGAAACCGACGGTGTGTCCCTGACTCATCGGAGGAGCTGCATGTTGATGAGAGTGAAATGATTTGGGGGTGCACTCCATAACCATTTAATTCCCGGTCACCCTCTGAGGTTCTCCAATGGAAGGTAATGTGAGGTCAGTTCTTCCAAAGATGCCACAGATGCCAGAGAACATCCTTAAGAGGTAATCCAGGCCTTCAGATGGGCTGAGGCACAGAGACAGGAGGCAACTGGAGAAAGGGGGAGCCCAGAAGTACAGCCAGGCTGGACCCAGGTCTCCTGGGTCTACGCATACCTGCTCTCTCCATATGTCACGTTTCCGGTCTCAGCACTTCTGGAAGACAGCCTTGCCTTCCTGGAAACATCCATACCCTGCTCTCTCACTGGACACCAGATGCTGCTGATGTACTGAAGTCAAATAAAAGCTGGCTGAGATTTATTCTGCTGACTGGGTCATCAGCACTTGGTCAAAAGTAACGCTTTCTATAATAATTTCAAATGTGTCTAGTGGAGGTAAGACAAATATGTGACCAACGTGGTACCTTCGTGTAATGGAATATTATTCAGCCATGTTACACGCTGTAACATGGAGGAACCTTGAAAACATTCTGCTAAGTGAAAAAAGCCAGACACAAAAGGCCACATCTTGCATGATGCTATTTATATAAACTTTCCAGAATAAGCAAATCTGTACAGAAAGATTAGTGGTTGCCCAGGGTAGGGGAGAACAAGGCACAGGCAGACTTCGAGTGATAGTTACGGGGTATCTTTTGTGGCATGGCATTGCTTTGTGGCATGACAAAATGTTCTGGAATTAGGCAGTGGTGATGGTTGCATGATCTTGTGAGTATACTAAAACCCACTGAATTATATACTTTAAAACAGTGAATTCATGGTATGTGAATTACATATCAACTAAAAATGCTTTCCCTTACTTTTTAGTTTTGGTGGTAATGGGGACTGAGTCCAGAGAATGCTGCCCTACACCACTACATCCTCTTCCCCCTTTTAAATTTTAAGACAGGGTCTTACTAAGTGGCCCAGACTGGTTCTCAAACTTGCAATCCCTCTGCCTTGGGCTCCTGAGCTGAGATGGCAGTCATGCACCAGCTAAAAAAATAAAATTTTAAAGATGCATCTAAGGAATAGATCAGGTGGGGTTTAGGAATCAAAAATCCAGGCTGAAAGGCTCTGCGCAGCTCCTTCCTCAAGCCAAGCTCTTCACAGTGTTTGTGAAAATAATACGGGATTAAGTACACGAATGTACAGTGCTTTGTAAAATGCCAGAGAGCAATCACAGGAGTGATGTAGGAGAACAGATCTCTTTGGGGAGGGCAGATGCTTCTGCAACATAATTTCTCAGTGGCGGCAATCAGCCCCCAGGGTTCTTTTGCCTCTAATCGGCATGCAGAGGAGATACTAGAATCTTCTGTGTGTAGACAGATACCTCATTAACAACCTCTCTGAGAGGAGGGGACTGAGGAGGTTCAACTTCACAGCCACTCTGCAAATGTTCCTGCCAATCTCAGCAAAACAAGGCTGAAAAGCAACATTGCTGGGAGCCGGCATTTAAGCCAAATTCAAGTTCTCTTCTGTCTCACACTGACACACACAAACCCGGCCCCTGTAGCAGTCAACTTCTCCCACTGAGCGCTGGCACACAGGCCTGGATGCTGGCTAGCAACTTCCTGGGACGTCTCTGAAGGGAGTAAGGGGCTCCTCCTCCAGCTGCTTCCCTCTTCAGGCCAACACTCAGCCTTGCCATGGATAGGAATTTAGACCAGAGGCCTTAAGGGAGGGCAAGAAAACTGCAGGCCAAGAGGGCTGGCTCTGCAGCTGCACCGGGACCTGCTCAGAGGCCCAAGAGGTCCCAGCCTAGGGCAGGCCAGCCCCATTCCGCCCACTCGGGGGACATCAGGTTCCCCATCTGCCCCCCGAGCAAGGATCCAGCTAAATATGGGGCCCAGCTGCACAGAGCCGCACAGACACCAGTACAGAGCAGCCAACACACCCGAAACTCAGGGCACAGACACACATTAACACACAGCCCGGGGTGACACGATAAAAAGCAAACATTCGGTCTCAGAGACACAGGGGCCGACACGCAAGTCACACAGAGCCCAGGACACCCTCGATCGCTGTCACACAGGGTCAGTGGCATCCAGGAGGCACAGACACACCTACAGCCAGAACTCCACAGGCGCAGACAGCGAAGCAACCTCACCCCTCTGCAGGGTCACGGCCCTCGGCTTGGCCTCACTCACACAGCATCACCCAGGCACAGTCCCCAGCAGACGGGTCACACCCACGGCCCAAAGTCACATACAGTCTCACGGACACTCGGCCAGCTGGAGCCAGGAGAAGGGCCTGGCCCTGCCACAGGGTCCCCGATCTCGGAACCAGCCACCGCGCACGGTCACCCATGGGGAGCGCGGGTCACACACTGGGTCCGCGCACTGCGGCCCCAGTCGCGGGTCACTGCCACACCGTGTCTCCCGCACGGTCCCGCGGGCCGGCTGCTCGGCTGGGTTCGCGAGGCGGGGATCCCCGCGGGTCGGCGCGCGCGGCCCAGGCCCGGGAGGAGCCCGCG